GTTCAAAGTAAAAGAGACGGATCCTTGTCTATGGAGCAAAACATTAAAAAATTACGAGGTAATCTAATAATTGCATGTGTATTTTATTTACTTTTTTTTATCATTTCACCCTAAGATTTATCTATCTATCTATCTATCTATCTATCTATCTATCTATCTATCTACACTCCATTTTAACTTCTTTATCAATATTATTTTAGCAGTTTCTCTCTCTCATTCAATTCTAATTTTTCTCACTCTTTCTTAATCTCTCTCTCACTCTCCTTTGCACACCTGCACTCTCTCACTTTCTCTGTAATCCAATTTTCTTTTTCTTCATTCAACAATTTATTCCCTCATTTCTATATTTTTCTTTCTCTCACACTCCTTTACCTTTTTCTCTTACCTTCTTTTCTCTCTCTTTTTTCACTGTTTTTTCTCTTTATCCTCTATCCATTCCCTCTCTATATGTTCCTCTCTTCATCACCCATCTCTCACTTTCTCCCTCTCTTTCCTCATTGTTTACTTCCTTGTGTTTTCCTTTCTCCTCATACCTTTACCACCACCTTTCCGTCTGTCTCATAATTGCTTCTTGTGATTACCATTTTATTCAAATTATTTCCCTTCTAACCTGTTTTCTGTTTCCTTTCCCTTCTACAGGTAGAGAATTTATTTCGAATGTACAACGACAGACGAGAATTGCTTCTTGTCAACAAAGAACGTTCCAAGAAACCACTGAAAAAACAGATGGAAGAAAAAACAGAGAGTTTACAGGAGAAACTTGCTGTTCCAGCTGAGAGTGACACTGGGTAAGTAGATATTGTCTTCAGGTTGGCTTACATACATACATACACACGCACACACACACATATATATTCAGCCATTTTCCTTTGATTTTTCAACACATTTGGAAAGGTGAAATTTGGAAAGAAAAAAAAAGCGGAGGGGGGCACAGATTGGTATTTTGATAATATTTGATGGCAGCACTCTCAAGGATTTTCCTTCTAAGTAAATTACTTTCTCCTTTGATGAGTATGGCATTCTTTAGATCAAAATTGGGAATTTACTCAGGAGGAAAATCCTCAAGAATGCTGCCATCGAATATTATCAAAATATCAATCTGTGCACCCCCCCCCTTTTTTTCCCCCAAAAACTTTGCCTTTCCTAAAGGAAGTACTACTTTCCCAGTCCAACATGCACAACAAATGTGTTGAAAACTTAAAGGAAAATGGCTGAATCCATCATTTCAACTTTTGGAGATGTATAATATATTATATACACTTATGCAGACCCACCCTTGCCAATTGCCATAGAGTATGCATATGCATAAATATACATACATGTCATGTATAGTATATACACATCTGTGCATGTATTTATGCACATGCACAAATGTGTGCATATTTGTAAACACAAACAGACGTAAAAAGAGAAACACCTACATAGGCAAAAAGACATTTTTTTTTTTAAATTTTATCAACTAAGTTTTAGCCTGACTGTGGTAATAAAATAAGTACATCCCATCTCTCCTCTCACTTTTAACCATCCACTATAATAAAATAAACATTTTCAGCACTAAAGCTGCATTAGTCAAATAAAGCATCATAAACTTCTACTTAGAGTTGTTGCTATACTACAGCCACTAAGACATCAGATGTTACTGATAGTGAAATAGAATGAGAAGACTTTAATGAAGAGAAAGAACAATAAATAAAGAACAGGATTAAGGAAGGTAGAAGACAGTGATTAACATTGCATTTAAATTTTTGAAGATTGTAGCAAGAAACCAGTGAGTTCCATTGGCAAGGAAAAAAACTAGTCAAAATAATCATTAGTACTTTTTTGCTTTTTCCATATAGGGACTTGTTTTTATCTTGGAGGTCTTGTTTTTTTTTTTTTTTTTTTTTTTTTTTGCTTTTTTTATCTACAAAATTTTAGGATTTTTATTAAATTTAAAAATCTTTTTAAACTCATCCCTTTCCAAAATTCATCGTTATATACTATATTTGCTGATCAAATATCACCTGTTTACCACTACAGGTAATTGTCTGACTACAAGATTTATCAGTTAAGCACATCATTTTATAATAATTTGCAGCAGTATAAACATACTTATGAAGTAAAATCTGCAAGCAATTTGAGTATGCCTTGCTTTTTAATTATCTGTTGTCTTGCTTTTTGTCTGAGAAAACATTTAGACTTCTTCACTACCCACATCATTTCATCCTCAACACTAGAAAATGAGCTTACAAAATCCACAAATCCAAAAAATAGACACTCCTAATAGCCCTTTTAACAACAGCAACAACACAAAATTCATAATCCTATCCTCTAAAACCCTTTCTACAAAACTTGTAAATAAATTAGTTACCCTTAATACCAGGATCTTTACCACCACTCCAAGACAATTGGAGATATAATTAGGAAGAAAAATAAATCCAACACCAATTCAGATTCTGGTACTTACAATGTAAAAACATATATTAGAGAGACATCACAAAATCTAAAAGCCTGTATCTACGAACATAAGAGATTTACATTTAGACAACCATTCAAACTCTCATAATATACAGGAACCAAACTGACCATAACTTTGATTTTACAAATGCCACACTAATTGAAAAAAGAACATAATTCTTTATGTTGAAAGTACTTTGAGGGCCTGCTAATACCAATGTTACCAACTGTAAACATATCTGGAAAACATTATATCACCAACATTTATTGAATTCATTCTTAAAGAATCTAATGTATGTATGTAAAAACGTTCCCAAATCAACATGCGGAAAACTATCAAACATCTACTAGACATACACACTTATGAATATACATTGTCATCTGATTCCCACATAGACAAACTAGAATTAGTATATACTTACATACATAAAGCAATATTTACGGTTTTTCAGTTAGGCCTTGAATCCTTTAATTTCTTGAAACTTTGAATGGATACATCATCTCTCCTTGAATTTGGAACTCCACAAATTATACTAACTTTGAAACATGATTAACCAATGAAAATCAAATGACACAAAAGTAAAAATTACAAAATTTCTTTCTTCTTTTTCTCCCTATCTCAGTCTCTGACAAAGCTTTAATAAAGTGAAACATGTTAGATTGATAAATGTTTCCTATTTGTTCCTTATCTTATTATTTCGGATTCTGATCCATATTTGATCCCGACTCACGTATGTGAATAATGTAATGTACTCAACTGGGATTTTAACTCAGCTCTCTAATTCCTCAATCCGAGCCACTATCCCTTACTCTAAGATGCTTTCTGGATAGTTATACATTTCTCACTGATGCTAATGATTGATGTCTAGGTAGGCAGATTCTTCCCACTTGTAAGATTGACGTAACATAATCTTCCTAAAATTTATTTTCTCTCCACCATTTCGTTTAAATTATCATTTTTAAATATGTAGATTCCTGAGTACATCTGATTTATTTCCCTTAGATCTGTATTTATGTGTGTTTGGGGGGGGGGTCGCATAATACAGGGGAGGTAACTTCTCTGTTATTAATTGATAGCAACATCCTTAAGTTTAATTGGTTAATAGGATTCAAATATTACAGATTACGTACAATACTTTGTCTTCGTTAAACAATATTCATTTTTTTTTTATTTGGTACAATTTTTTCCCTTCTTTGCAGGAGTTCCAAAGATGATGAAGACACGTGTCCAATTTGCCTTCTTGAGATGCTAGAAGGAGAGAGTTTAGTTCGGTGTTTGAATGGTTGCCAAAATCGGTTACATCATCACTGCATAAGTGTTTGTAAGTTGACTGATTTCATTTTTTTTCTTTTTTTCCTTTTTTTCTTCTATACACTTCCTTCTTCCAAACTATGATTTGTATCTTTCTCCACTTCACCTCCTTGGCCTCCATATTTCAAAAGCTATCTTTCATCTCAGAGTGAAAATATGTCAAATATTCTGGTGTGCCTATTACCAAGTATCTCTTCTAAAAAATATTACCCAAATACATACTTATGTGTGGTTGTTTAATATATAAGAATTCGTGCACAGATGTTTGTAGAGTGAGTGGCCATGATTAAATATAAATAAATGGAAGAACTGCCCAACAAACAGAATTGACAAAGTTTGCAATAAACAACAAAGAGAACAGGACAAAAAAAAGTATAAAGCAAGCAACCAAACAATATATGCAAGGCAAATTAACAGTAATATGGCAAAAAGTTCACAAACTAAGAATTGGGGTTGACACAGAAGAGCAAATTCAGGTAAATGAACATAACATTCTGACTTCAAGACAAGACAGACCAAGACTGAGTCAGATGAAACTGACAAGTGGCCTATCTTATTGGCTAGGAAGAAATTCCAGCATATATTTGTATGCTTCTGTCTATAAATTGGTGATGGAAAAGTGTTTTGCAATCATTCCCACTGAAATTGGAACCAACATTGTTAATATGCATATATAAAATGGATGCACATAACTGGAGTATGAGAAAAGAAATCTGTTAGACAAAAGCAACTTGTAAATATGTAAGCTGATTATAAAGTTTAGTTAACAGGTTTGCCTTGAAGGTGGACAAATCGTCATTTTCTCCTTTTGAAAGGAAAAAAAGCTTTCATGTCTTCTCCCAACGGATGCCAATGGCATCATTGTTTTGACTAAGTGAGGTGTCATTAGCCATCACTTAGTGTTCTCCTATGCTAGGGTTCAAACAAATAACAGATTTATTGATAGAATCAGTTATATATATATATATATATATATATATATATGATAAGGTAAAGAACAAATTGGAAACATTTATCAAGCATTTATTATTAAATTGATAAACATTTCCTATTTGTTTATCTTATCCTGTTAGATTCTGGTCCATATTTGATCTACACTTGATCTTCAACTCATATATATATATATATATATATATATATATATATAAAGAAATATAGTCTTAAGATGTGCTATATTTATGGGATAAAGTGCTCAATATCAGAGATAGAGCGTGTGTAAATATAAAAGTGAACATAGAAGTCAACACTTAGAGGCAACAGTCTGTTTCATGCTAGATGCAATCGTCAGGCCACGAGTGTTGTTATTTTTCTCCTATGTAAAAATTATGTTGTTTACAAATTCTCATGCCCTCTAAAAAGTTCTCTCTCTCTCTCTCTCTCTCTTTTTATATATATATATATATATATATATATATATATATATATATATATATATATATATATATATGTTTTTTTGGGGAAGCACAGTTGAAGTGTTGATTCATTTATACAGGTGTTAGCACATATGGGTGTACATATATTCATGTGTATGTATGTTTATATTGCGTATCACATGGTTTTGTGATTTTTGCATGTTTCCTTATATGTAGTTTGATCTATGACTGTCTTGCTGATGTATACAACATTTATAATTCTAAATTAACATATTTTGTATTATTATCCATACATCATCTTACTCAGTTTTTATTTTTACTTTTTATTATTTATCTGTATTTAAAAATCCCTTCATTTATGTTTGATATTATTATTATTATTATTATTGTAATTTCTATTTATTATTTGTATTAAGGGCCCTTTTATTAGACTAACTAAATTGGAATTGTGTTGATTTGTCCTGCCTAAAATAACAGGCCATATTGGTCAATTTGCTGTATAACCCAATATACAAAGTTCCACACTTTAAAGAAAAAATTCTTGGCCAGGTCAGTCTATTTTTGGCTTACTACTACCCATTCATCTCTTCCTTCTTCCCTTTCCTTACTTTCTCTCTCTATCTCACTTTTTAAAAGAACTTGACCATCTGTCACTTTTCTTCTTCCTCTCCTTCTTTCTCCTCCTTCCCCCTGTTGATCTAATTTATAAGTCCTGGGAAAGATCTCTATTTACTAAGAGATTTTGGTCTGAAGAGATCAATATATAGATATTCATTAAATAAATTATAACCAAAATGAATCTTTAAGGTTTTCTTCTTGATGATTATTATTATTATAATGCCCCATAGTTTACATTGAGCTCTCTCTGGATTAATATCCTCCTTGGAATTATCCCTACCAGTCACAAATTGATAATATTTGATTGTTGATTGATATATATATATATATATATATATATATATATATATATATATATATATAATCAAACATTAGACAGCATATAAATCACAAAGAAATAATCATGTCAGAACCAATCAGCAATATTAATTCATGCGATTATTATTTTTGTATATTCTATATATATGTATGTATGTATATATGTATATATATATATATATATATATATATATATATATATATATATATATATATATATTGAATTATGTTTTTGCTTCACAAAATACACAATTTTTACATATATAACAAGTTGGTGCAAAAGTAATGTCTGATTTCAAGGTCTGTATTAAAAATGAAAAAGCCCATGATTATGAAAATATTTATTTGTTAACATAACCTCCTTTGCTTTCTAGAACACAATTCTATCTGTCAACAAGCTTATAAATGCCACACCTGTAAAAATCCCTTAGGTTTTGAAGCAAAATATGAATCCAACTCTTTTTCTACCTCTTCTCTTGAGATCAACCTAAGACAATACAAATGATTCTGTAGTCCCTGAAACCAATGATAATCAGAAGGGGCAAGGTCAGAAGAATATGGTGGATGAAGCAATATTACCCAACTAAGCTCTTCCAAAAGATTTTTAGTCAGCTGGGCTGTGTGAGGATGAGCATTATCATGATGGATGATGATACCCTTTCTGTTCACTAAGGAAGGCTGCTTTTGGTTCAAAGCTGTTATCAAGTGACAAAATTGATCACAGTACAGATTAGCTGTAATTATCTGATTGTTGTTTAACTGTTCATAATGGACAATTCCTTGAATATCCCACCATACACTCAACATGACCTTCTTTGAATGAAGTCCTCCTCTTGATTGTTGAACTGATCTTCCTCCTTGACTGATCCACAATTGGTGGTGTTTAATGTTATGGTAAAGGCTCCATTTCTTATCACCTGTAACAAGCCTACCTAAAAATGGTGCCTGAAGTTGTTGTGAAAGCAATAATTCACAATAAGCAGCACACTGTTGCAGATTCTCTGGAGACAGTTCTTGTAGGACCCATTTCCTAACCACTAAAACCTGGGTGGGATTGTCTGTGACAACAGCTTCCAACTCTTCAGTATCAAGTTTTTTGGATGACCCTACTTTTGCTTGTCTTTCAAATTGAAATCCACACTTCAGAAACGAGAAAGCCTCCTGCAACTTCTTTCATTCCCTGCATCATTTCCATATGTGCTCTGAATAGACTTTGTTGCTGCACTTGCATTGACAGCTTTATGAAACTCATACAGTTAGACATATCGAATGTGATCTTTAGATGGGATGAACATGGGTGCAAATATTGCGGAAGATCATGAAAAATATTTTTATAATCTGTAGTAATGCAGAGTATGGCTTACCTAGTACAAAGTTGTTACAGCTGTATCAGGAAATCCAGTTCAAGGCCTATGGGCACATGTGTGCAATGGCTGTCATTTTATGAAATGGACATCACACCTATGCAAATGTATTAGCACCTGCTGCTTACTATATAAGCAGCTACATTGCTTGCTAGTGTAGAGTGCGAACTCTGAAGATGATGCTAGTGGTCTGTTGTACAGTTGAAAAAGCAGTAAAGAAGACCCTTCACAAGAGAAAGATATAAGTTACTTATTGTGACAATCCTTAACTATAACGAGAAACACATATTTCATAAATACTATCTAAAACTTTCTTTTCAAAAATCAGACATTACTTTTGCACCAACCTTGTGTGTGTGTGTGTGTGTGTGTGTGTGTGTGTTGTGGTTTCTTTGCCAATGCTTATCCAATTGCTATGACTATGGTTATCAGCTGTTGATAAGAAAGATCCATGATGTAGCAAAAAATACTTTTTTTTTTCTGTATCTTTAAAATGAAATGGTAGATTTAAGACAAAATCAGTAAATTTTTCATAGACTGTCTGGTTTGATAATTATATTCTTGGCAAACAGAAGAAATTATAATAATCTTCATTTGAACTTATGAAAATGCTAGAAAGAATAATCGTTCATTTCATCTAGTCAATCTTGTTCACTATTATTTACTGACATTTTTTAATGAGGTAAAAGATAATAGCATATAACCCATTTTGATGCCTGTTTGTTTTGCTGTGTATTCATCTATATATATATATATATATATATATATATATATATATTATATATATATATATTATATCCAGCAAAGCCTTATTTTCCTTTTTAAAGATATGTTTGATTAAAAATAAATCTATTAATTCATTTAGAATTGCTATTTATATTTTGGATACAAAACTGAGCAGATATGGGCTTTTGAGAAAAATATCTGAATGAGGAAGTGTACTTTCTTTTAATGGTAAAATAAAGCCTTGCTGGACTGTGATGCTCTCTGTAGCTGAGCAGTAAAGCATGCATATATATATATATATATATATATATATATATATATAAACCTAGTGAGTTGAGACAGACAAACCTGCAGGTTTCACCTAACGGGTTGTCAGGAAAGGCTGACTTTCCCTGACAATCCGTTTAGGTGAAACCCAAATAGGTTTGTCTGACTCACTAGGTTTATCTAGGTCTGCTCTACAGTTGTATTGAGCTCTTTTGTTAGTTAGTTGTTTACTCGTATGGGGGTTTTTTCTTTGGGCTTCAAACCTGTATCTGTGTGATTTTTTTCGACAGACTTTCATGTTTGTAACTCTTTCTTTTTTTAAAACCTTTTTTTCCCTTGAGATTGATTTGATTATTGGCAAATCAAAAATTCAAGGGTTTTTCGAAACGAGTATAGTTATCTATATTTGTGTGTGTGTGTATATATATATATATATATATATATACACACACACTTTGCCATTATTGAATATTGAACTGACTTTTGCCTTTCCTATGTTATAACAATTTGTTGTTTTTTTCTGCAGATATATGTTGATAAGATGAGGGTGGGAATGAAAGGGATACCTATTTGTCATTTAATTCCACCCACCCTCATTTTCCAATAATTTCTTTCAGGGTTTGAGGAGTGTCATAACCAAAGCCCCCTAATATGTCCTATATGTCGGACAAAGTGGAAAAGTAAAATTGAAGATGACAAGTAAGCCTAATTCAAATCAACTTTTTCTTTGAATGATGTTTTGTTGAATCCTTTTTTTTATATAGTAATAGTAATTCGAACAGAATTCGTCTAAGTATAGTCAATAAACAAGAAAACTATCATACTTAAGCTATTTCCTGGCATCAAATGTCATTTTATTTCACTCAAATAATTTTCACTCCTACTAGCTAAAGATTACATTTTTATTTTACATTTGGGGGGGGGACAAAATTGGGGTTTGTCCTTGAGGCAGAGAAATAATTTTATGAATAGGTGATGCAAAGTTATCAGCCTGACCAAGAAGAGATTTAGTAAGATTTTGGGAAGTAGGTCAGGCTGATAACTTTTCAGCACCGCCTTCTTAAATATGTAAACTGGTTGGAGTATAAGATCTGATTTACCTGCTTGCTTCAAAGTTTAGTAAATTTTAATTCCTTATTTATCATCTATTGTCTATTTTACCTTAGATTTTTAGTCTTATATTTGCAATGATGCTAACATTTTATTTTAATCACTTGTATTGTGTAGTGAATCTAGTATTGGCCAAGGAGGTTCATCCTCTCCATTGATACCTGATGATCTAAGGCTTCCCTATGCTGAACCTATCCCAGCAGAACACAGAGACACGGCACGGCCTTGGATACAGGTAAGCCTTCTACTATTAAGCATTTTTAAATTGATCCAACATCTGACAAACAATACCTTTTCAACTTTAGATACAAAATAGTCAACTTCAGATTGAAATTTGACCATCTGTTGGCAAAGACAGCTAATGTTTGCGAGAAGATGAAAGGAAGTATGCATGGTAGAGACAGCTAGCAACAGGCAGGCCAAAGGTAGTTTTGTCAGACCTTTGTGGTGAAATACATACAAAATGACAAAGGATAAACTGACTACCCTTATTCTGTATTGGCACACCCAGCTCCTGTGATGACTTTTGCTCTTTTAAACAATTTTTTTTTTAATTTAAATATTCACTAGCTTTGTTCTGCAATAAATTTTCTTCAAATTAGGAACTGTCTGTCTGCCAGCCAGCAATCTAGATGTGAATGAACCAGCTCATGGCAGCCATGCTGCGTATGCTGTGATACCCAACCAAATAGGAATGTCTGAAAAAGATGATGACTATCACCAACCCACTTACCTGCTTGCCTGCTGGCAATGATCGCTGATAATTGCGTTATACGCAAGATAAGATGATGGTCAATGGAGACAGCAGGCTAAGGGTGCTTGGCAGCCCTGCTAAGGGTGGACAGTCATCATTGAATCAGCCACAGCATGGCAGGATTAGTGCAAACAAGAGACAATGATGAATAAATGTATTCACTTTTATTTTTGCATCAGCACACCCAACTCATGTGATGACTTTTACTCTTTTCAGCAATTTTGTACATATTTTATTCATTGTAAATAATTAGTAATTCATAAAATAAAATTCATAAAACTTTATATTTAAATTTAATTGAACAGATTAATATTTAATCATTTTTTTAAAATTCCAACACATCAATAAATAAACCCTGGATGTAGCTGATAAATATACACGTTTTAGAACCTATACCTTGTACACCATCTTATTTTATCATTTAAACATTATTTTTAGTGGATATCCATATTTGAGTAGACCCTGCATTTATTTATTTAATAAAAAGCATATTTACTTATTTTCATCTACTAGCCTAAATATTCAAGAACCTTATTAAAGAAAGTGAATACATCTTTTCTTTAATAGAGATAGGATACAAAACTGAGCAGATATGAATGTTTCAAGAATGGTTGAAGAAATTTGCGCTTAAAGGCACTATTTGGCTTCACTTGATCAGTAAGACCCTTCATGGCCAAGGATGTCAGATCTAACAACGATTTCTCCTGCTAAGGGGGATGCATGTTTGAATCCTGCTGGAGGACATGTCTTTCTTTAATAAGTTTTCTCGAATATTCAGGCCAGTAGACGAAAATAAATATACTGTTTAATAAATTAAAGGACCAACTACTCAAATATGGATAACCACTAAAAATAACATTTAAGTGATAAAAACTGTCGGATTAATAAATAAAAAATCCACACCATCTTATATGAACTCAATTAATTTTCTTACACAATATTTGACCTTTGAAATCTCATTCAAATTCTCTTCTATCAAAATTGTCTTAATATTCTCTCTCTGATTCCTCTTAACATGTGTTTTTATAGCAGATCACACAGACTCAATCAGGTTCAATATGGGACTATATGGCCCAAGTCTTAAAATGTTATCCTTAAATCAACCTCTAAGAATGTTCTTTTGATATTGGAATGAGCTGGTGCACTGCCCAGTATTATCACATCATATAGACCATTCTCAAGCACTCTTTAACCGAGGTTTCTACCTTTTCCTTACTAAAGAATACTTCTTGTATTCAAGATTACTTATAACACCTATCTTGTATATATTTTCTACCTTTGATCCTACTGCAATAGTTGTGCATCTGGTTCCCTTTTAGACCTTGCTTCTATTCCAAGTTAAAATTGGTCCCGTCCATATAAACTATAGTCAAATTCTGACACTGATGTGTAAACAGTGATCCAACATTTCTACCTTTTTTTTCCCTTATTCACCTAACATGCTTTATCATATATTGTAATTAAAAGTTGAGATATTTATAGATGGACTCTTTAGAAAGATCTGTAGTGAATCTTTCAAAGGTCTTCTTCAAGTGTTGAAATGTCAGAAGAGATTTGGTTCTAATTGTTCCAGAAAAAATTCTCCTTGAATCTCCATGACTTTAGCAAATCTGTGAGCTTCTCAAAATTCCTCTTGGCACCCTTTCTTCACCCATCAATGGGCTGTTGTTTTTTTGTTTTTTTTTAATCCAAGAGAATCCAACAAACCTCTTCAACCCCATTTGCTTTATAATCAGGGACTTGACAGATTTGTTTGAAGATTTCTGATGTAATTTCCTTCATAACATTGGTATTATTTTAATATTAAATATATGTTCACTGAGACAAAAAGATTATTTTGCCATGGATGGAGATATTATTTTAATAAAAGATCTCGTATTTATAACAATAAAATGAAATTTTCTGTTCATATTCACATTTTTTTTCAATTTGATGTTGACTAGTACATTTTGAAGCTAACTTTTCTTCTTTTAAAGTTGAAAAGCTATTGTTTTCAGTATATTTATTGCCAAGTATATTTCTGCAGATAAAAAATAGAATCTAATTGTCTAATTTATGGATTCTTCATTGATTCTGTCAGTCAACTCAAGATATACAATTTCAGTTAATGCAATCTTCTCTCCTCTACTAGATATTTTCACAACTTGAAATTATCCTCTACCATTGTGTGTGTGTGTGTGTGTGTGTGTGTGTGTGTGTGTGTGTCACTGCACAGTTTGTTTTTGTTAGTTTTACTCATAGCAATTTTCACAATCTTCCATTGGATATAAGCAATACCTTCCACCTCTGATTTGCTTCAACCAAATAAAAAATGGATGATAATAGTAATAAATTTATTCCTCATTAGGTTATTATGTAATAGGATAAAATGATTGATATTAAATATGTAAGATGGAATTTGTGAAAACCAGTTGGATGTTTAAAAAAAATTTTATTTTGATGTCAGTGTTTTACCCATTCTCAAAATAGCTGAAAAATCATTACAACGACAACCCTGCAACTTAAAACACTGTAATTAATTTTTAAAAATTCAAATAGTTAATAAAATTTTTAAATAGATATCCATGAACATATCAACAAGATTTATACATAGGAAATATCTAAGAATAACACATAAATATGGTGATTTGATGCTAGAAAGTAAAATGAAAAAGTTATGGTGAGAAAAATAAAATGCATATATTCAAATAATAAATTATCAAAATGGAATGTTGTTTTTGCTATGGATATTCTAACCAAGTTTAAAATCCAAGAAAGTTGTTGGATATTTTTCCTCTTACTCTTGTATTTTTTGTTTTGTTTTTTTTATCACAGTATAAGAGAGAAAAAAAATTTCAAACTTGCTTGCATCTTTTGTCTATTGCAGATTCTTGGAGAAGATCTCGTATGTTGCTTATTTTCAAGAAACTGGTCTATACGAGAAGCAGCCCTGAAACATTTAAGCCGAGAAATGGTTTCTACTTTGTTGCGTGGTGCAGGTGAAGGTCGAATGGGAGCATTAATCTCTTCATCCCAACAAACAGCTACCCACCTAATGCTAGAATGTTGTTGCAGTGTTCTTGCTTTCATGTGTGCAGATCCTGTATACAAAGTTTTTATTTCATGTTTGGTGAGCATACAGTTCTCCATTGATCATTTTTAGCACAGTTTATTTGTCACATTCAATAGTTTATTGATGCCTTTTCCACATAATTACTTGAAAACTCTAAACTATATGTTTGTTCAGAAAATACCCAATCATTTCATATTAATGCAAAAATAGTCAATTGCTGGCAATAGCGCCTTAGTCTGCTTCAAAGTACTCCAATTAGAACCACACACAGTCTGTCCTTTTCACTTATCAAAACAGTTTGCAAAATCCTATTTCAGGATTAACATCAGCTGCCTTGTTGCATTCATCTTAATCTTATTCACAGTTTTAACAAATATTTTTTAACTTATGGCAAAAGCTAGAAAGCCATACCAGAAATCAGAAGCCAGGCTGGCACATGTGGGTGATGTAAAGTTTACCAAAATATACACTGTATGAAGAATCTGCTTGCTTAGTGGCATCTCATTGCCAATGGATCAACCCTGTTAGAGAGTCTGTTTGTTCATGCATCATAAAAGCTCCCTCTGGTTAGCTGCCAAGTAACATCAAGGCCTCACAACCAATTCTCCAGATAAATACATTTCAGACAGACCTCATAAAAGTTCAGTTTAATTCCTCATTTTTCCTTTTCCCTATTATAGAAATAATTTTTCAGTTTCTTTTTAATTTAGATGGCTTCAAACAGGATATAAATTTTTTGTTTCTTATAAAGTTATAAAAAGGCTGTTTTTTATATAAAAAATAACAAATTTTAAGTACACATTCCAAAATTAATCTGCTACTGACAGTTTAATTTTCAGGGTCACAATCATCAGGCAGGAGAAAGGAACAGAATACAAGCCAGTGGAACTGGGTGGAATACGTAGTGTGAGATGTGAGTGTGTGTGTGTGTGTGTGTGTATAAAATAGATGTCCAACCATCATTTTAAAATTATTCTATTTTTTATAAAGATTCAGGAAGAGAAAGAAAGATAATAACTATATAGTTATTAACTAAGTCAGTCTTGATCTTGCAGAAGGCCACACTAGTAGGGCACCCAATAAGAATCAGTCATTAAACTAGTGAATTGATCTGGAATATAAACTTGCCAAAGCTATGGAGGATGCCTTAACACACTTTATTATATACTTATTTATTAAGTATTTCTTCTTTAGTACAAGGCCACAGTAGTGGAGCACCTAGTGATGATCTAAAGTCATTATACTAGCAAATTTATCTGTAAGATTACTTTGTAGGCATCATAATTTGTTAACTGCCCAAGTACTAACAGCAATACCAATGTGAAGTCAGATATAAAGCAAATTTTTCAGACTGAATCCTTCATCAGAATACTAATGTATAAAAGGAAGGAAATCATAAATATTAATATATAAAAAAAATAGGGTATTTGACAGGATTTGGCATGCTGGCCTTCTCCACAAGCTCAAAAGCTATGGTGTCTCTGCCTGGATGTTTGACTTAATCCAATCGTTCTTAACAATTAGGCTTATGAAAGTTGTGTATATGGCCACATTTCTAGATCATTTCACATCAAAGTGTTGTTTGTTATCTTCATCAACAACCTTCCCAATCTCATCAGTTCACGACTAATTATTCATACTGATGACACAAATATTTACTTGATAGGTCTGACAAAGTAAAACTGGTTGCTGCTCTTGTAAATGACTTGCAATCAGTTGTTAACTGAGGCAAAAAATGGCTTGTAAATTTTAATACCTCCAAAATGAAGCTGCTATCCTTTAATCATCATAGAGAACCATTTTCACCTTTCATCAGCATGGCTGATGCTAACCTCCAGAAGAGCAACTCATTTCATGTTGTGCCAGACAATTTTTCATGTCAAAATCCATCTTGCACATTTATAAATCTACTATTCGGCCATACATTGAATATTGCTATAACATCTGGTCTTGTGCTCTGGCTATATATCTCAAGATTCTCAACAAAATCCAAAGAAGTGTCTGCAATGTTATTGGTCCTGACCTGGCATCTTGACTTCAGTCATTTTCCCACTGCTGTGACATGGCTCCCCGCTGTTTTTTCTGTAAATATTTTCATGGCAGTTGCTTTAATGAGCTCTTCTTATTAGTACCTTGACTGCATGAATTTAAGCATACTATTATAGTGGCTATGAGATCTCAGCATTTTACTATTGAAATAGCTATATGTAAACATAAGTACTATTCTAATAATTTATTTTTTGGCACTTCTCACCAAGGAACTCTCTTCTGATTTCTTTCTTCCCTGCCACCTACAATTTTAAAATATTTAAATATGAAAGTTGGCTCCCTCTGCCGCGCCAGGAAATTTTTCTCCCTGGAATCGATCCTCCAGATCTACAAATCAACAATTCACCCTTGTATGGAGTATTGCTGCCATATATGGTCTGGAGCCCCTTCTGTTTGCCTCAGGGTTCTTGGTAGGCTCCAGAGGCAGATATGCAATATAATTGGCCCTGATCTGGCATCTCGTCTACAGTCACTTTCTCACAGATGTGCTGTCACCTCTCTCTGTTTTACAAATACTTTCATGGCAATTGCTCCGAGGAGCTGCATTCGCTGGTTCCCAGACTTCATGAGTTCAAGCGCCCGACGAGGCTGGCATCTCGCTCTCACCCCTTCACTGTCGAAACTCCTAAATGTAGCCGTCTCTTCTACCCCAATAACTTCATGTCTCGCACCTCTCGCCTGTGGAACTCCCTTCCCTATTCCAGTTTCCCTGAGAGCTATAATCTCCAGCTATTCAAATGTAATGTCAATCGACATCTCCAGTTGCCTTGATCTATCCACTACCCCTCTCCTCATCCTTTCTTCTATCACTCCTATCTGATCTTGCTCCAAATTTTCTGTAACCCCTTGTGTCCTAGTGGCTTCCCACCTTGCTTGGGGTGAAACACTTAAAAAAAAAAAAAAAAAAAAAAAAAAAATGTCAATCACCATCTTCTACCTTCCGAAATCCTGTTCTTTTATTGTTCTTTCTCCTCACTAAAATTTTCTCATTCTCTTCCACTCCTAGTAACTTCTAGTGTCTTAGTAGCATTATCACCTTCTTTGGGGTGAAATGATGAAAAAAGAAAGAAAAGGAATAAGAGAACTAAAGAATCAAGGTTTACTATCAGTCTATACAAAAGTTAATAACAATTTTTTGTTTATTGCTAAAGATGTTGGTAAAATGGTTGTTTCTTTGTACTGCTCTAGTAAGTAACAGACTCCTCTGAATATGATATATCTTTACAAGAGCCAGATCAAACAAAAAATAAAGTACTGTTAATATCTGGGCTGGAGCTACCCAGGCATCACTTTCCAGTCTTGATAGTTTAATAGCGTCTACGCGGCCTTGTGGTTAACAAATTATTTTCCACCTCACAACCCCTTTCTCACAGATGAAATATTGCAAACCTTTTGCTACTCTATCACTATTTCCATGGCAAATGTTCTGATGAACTACATTCATTGGTTCCACCAGTTCAGACCCTTACAGCGAAAACCTGCTATACCACGTACACTAAGACAAATCATCCCCATTCCCTTTGCATTCCATTAGTTAGACAGAAGTTTCACTCATACCACTTCTTCCCAAGAACTGCTACTTTATGGAACATACTCCCAAGGGAATGCTTCCCTGATCATACTTTTAACCTCTTCAAGTTTAGGGTTAACCATTATTTTTCTCACATATCGTTATAAACTACACTTCTTATCTCTTACTCTGCACATACAACAAAATCATTCAGTGACCTTGAGTGGCTCTTGGGCCTTGTATTGGGTGATTATTAGTGAAAAAAATATCTATTTTATGTTGATATGTCAAAATAATATGTGTATTCTTACTCATACTACTCTGTATTATCAATTATCATTTTTTTATTTTTTCCAAACTAAAGATGTTGTAATCTGTGGTCTTCTGAAATGAAATGTTGAATAATTATTTGAAAGCTACAATCAAAAATAACAAATAAAATGAAAGAAAGACTAGTCAAAAATTAATAATTGTAAAGATGTCATTTGAAATGTATTTCTTATTTTTATCACTGCAGAAAACTTTACGAGCCATGTTGTCTTACACACCATGTCGAGATGAACAACAGAGAAACCGACTTCAGATCATCCTTAAACCTGTCATTGAAGCAATTATCATTAAATGTACCGATGGTAACAGGTCAGTCCTTTATTAAGAGTTCACTTTCCCACAGCCGTAACATAGCTTCCTTGTGTTTTTTTCTATAAATATTTCCATGGTAATTGTTCTGATGAATTTTCCTCTTTGGTACCTTGATTTTATGAATTTAAGCTCGGTACTTGATTGGCGGCAAGATCTCAGTTGAAATGGTTAGATGTAACCATAAGTTCTATAGTAACAGTTTCTTCTCTCATACCTCTTGCTTGTGGATCTCTCTTCTGGCTTCTTGCTTTCCAGTCAACTGTGATCTTCAAAAATTCAAATGCAATGCCGATCATTATCTTCTGTTTTCTTAATTCCTATTCTCTCCTTAACATTTTTGGTTTTTTCATATTCTCTCACACTCAGTAACCCCCCTTTATTTTATTGCCTTGCTTGGGGTGAAATGGTTAGGAAGGAAACCCCCATCAATATTGGAAAAGTGGTAACAGCTACTGTACTTGAGAAACTTATTTTCCTGAAAGTTATTTTCAAAGAAAGATTTTATAAATTTCATCCAGCAGTAGTATGAGCTGCCTGGTCAATGAATGCTGAATGTTTCCTCATAAGGAAACAGCTAATATTACCATACAGTTGTTATTTATCTAAACATTTTCAGTGATTTCATTGGAAAAAGTAATGTTCAGCAATAGAAAAATACAGTTGAATAATTATGAAAACAGATCACTCTTTATTAAACAAATACATCAAAACCTTAATTCATTCTAATGATTATATGTGTAGCAATGCAGTAATACTATAACAAATAATAATAAGGAAACAGATGACAAAATGTCCTTCATGCATTCAGTGTGTGAATTGATATAGCACACAGAATATTAATTTAAAAAGTTGATAATTTAATATTTACTTACATTCTGCTCAAAATCTTATACAAAATACTAACTTAAGAAGTATACCTTGAAGGTACAAAGTCTATATTTTGATTCCTGCTGTTAGAAAAATTTCAATCGCACACATTCACAGGGCCATGAAAACAATCAGCAAATTAAAGCAGAATTTGATGATTTAACCAGTGAACTTTTCAGTTTTTGACTTAAAATTTGAACAGGTTTCTATATTCTTAATTTCTACCATTCATCCATGCCTCAGATATTGCTGCCACTTATGGTCCAGTGCTTCTGCTATATATTTAGAAATTCTTGATAATCTCCAGAGATGAATCAGCAATATTATTGCTCCTGACCTGATGTCTTGGCTTAAGTCACTTTCCTCCCACCATAAAGTTGCTTCCTGTGCTTTTTCTATAAATACTTTCATGGTAATTGTGCTCTTTGTAATGGTACTTAGACTTCATGAATTTAAGTGCAGTAATAGATTAGCAACAAAATCTCATCATTTTACAGTTGAAAGATGTAAAAAGATGTAACTGTAAGTTCTGTGCTAACAGTTTGTGGCGGACATGAGACAGAACCTGGGATTGAAACACAACTGGTCGCGACTTGCCTTGTCCCCCATAAAGAGCCCAGTTTGCTTAGCATGTAAAGCTACTGCAGTTGAAATGAGGGAGAAAAAAAAAGCACTTACAGCCATCCTCGGCCAGATAACATAAAAAAGAATGAGGGGGACTGGCATTTTTTTATCCAATAACGATGCAATGCATTATGGGACATGGGCGCAATGCATTATGGGACATGGACGCAATGAATTATGGGATCACAGGAAGGCGCAAGATTATGGGTAAACAACTATAAAACAACTACTTTTTTTCCAAGGAGGGGACGTTCACGGTTGACGGCTAGACGGGCAGTTAGTGTGATTTGAGACAGAACTTTTTGAAATACCAGTTGGGAGAGCTTGAATTTACTCGCTGGTTACTTTTTCTTCATTCCCTCAAGCTATTTCGGCATATTGATTCTTCAAAATGGAAGGCAAAGTCTTTGACGTCCGTTTGATTCATATGCCCATTGTTGAATGGATAGAAAATGTGGAATTGGTCTCAACTTTGTGCCATGGACAAGATTCTTGCCTTTTACGACTTGGCGTGCCCTTGTATATAGACAACTCAGTGGAGAGCAGAGGGCAGGGACGCGGAACAAATTAAACGGGCCTTATGACTGCATACGCGACGACAAAATTTAATGCGTTAATTTATGGGATTCTTCGATGAATTCCTGGCTGAAATGCATCGTTTAAGTGGCAGATATGATGGCATGTGCATTTGTGTCAACTGCCACATCATGTTCATTTTCTTCCAGGATGGACCATGATCTAGAACAGATTCTTGCAAGGGCTATTATGACGGATGACGAAGGGTGCCAGGTATTGGCGCCACATCCGTTGATCCCCTGCCAAACCTGTTAGCAGAACGATTACCTGCTAAAGTTCTGGACCCAACCATATGGCGAAGAATTGTACACAAGGACGTCAGGAGAGGTCAAACAGAATGCAGAGGTCTGGTCGCGAACAAAATTCTCCCGAACAAGTAAAAACCGGAAGCTACCCACCGTAAAGTATAGATGGAGTAAAGTGCACAGCTCTAGTGGATTCTGCTCAACTTTGATGCTTAGGAAGAGGTGGGAGTGTTGACTGCCGACGGAAGACCCTGAGAATTTCTTGAGGTTCTCAATTGATTAAGTTTACTTGACTCAAAATCTTTCGAAACCTGAACACATGTGCCGCCATTGTTATCAACAAGCCTGAACTGCATTGTGGAAGTTGGTCATTCACCCTAGCATTGGTCAATAAAGTACAGGAGTACACAGTACCTGGCCCGTCCGGGATGCTAAAAACTAGCACGGTGGCTTGGCTAATGAGAAAGAGAGCTTGGCCCACCCAAAATTTAATTCCTTAATGGCGGTCGTACAAGAACACAAACAGAAGGTCCGACCGGTACTTGACTATCGGGAGTTGAACGGCTTTGTAGACGCATTCACGGCTGGCGAGATCTACGGTCGACAAGGAGCTGACGATATCGCTGATTTGAAAATGTGCCTACAGATTCACATTGACAAATCGCTATGGCCGTTTCAAACAGTGGTCATTAAGGGCAGCGTTTTTTGTTTTCACGCGTTTGGGTTTTGGCCTGAATGTGGCACCTCTTGTCAAGAAGTTGATCGACATGTTTCAAAAACTTTTCTGTAAGACAGCACTTTGCAAGTCAAAAGATCCGGAGTTTCTGATTAACTCCTTCGATGGGGCGGGGAGGTCAAGTTCAGAAATTGCTCAAAAGGTGAATTTTCCTTGTCGCGGGAAACTTGTGGGTCATTTCCTGTGTGCGGTTGGCTTAAATGATTTATTAAGCGTTATGCAAGCACAGGATGGGGACAAGGATGCCCCTCTTGGACGTATCTGTGGCCAGAGTGCGGGAATCAGATCCTGTCGGCGGAGACTGGTGTGTGAACAGCAATGAAATGACAGTTTGGGTGGATGCAAGCTCCGTGGCAGAAGCACTAGAGGTGAATGGGGCGTCGTGGAAGATTAATTTGATGCCAAACACATTAATCTTGAATGATGGTGATCAAGGGCGTGAATCTTGCCCTTTATCTGTTTTCTGAAAATGCTGATGAGAATGAACACTGCGAGCTTTGATGGAGGAGTGCTAATATTTTGGTGAAATCTTGTCATTCAAAGTTTGCAAAGAAAGGAGGAGAACCGGTAAGTTTGTGTCACTGCAACGGAGCCAGTTGAGCAAACGTCAGGTTGTCAGAGTACCCAGGTGTTAAAAGAACAATGTAACTGTAGATCCAAAAGGAACTGGTAAAATCTGTCGTTAGAACCTGTGAAGCCTTCGATCCAAAATGCATTGGAAAAAGGAAATGAGAAAAACTGGAGCAGGTTAGCAATGGACGTAACCCATTGCAATGGTAGCCATTTCTTCTTACACTCATTGACTGTGGTCCCTCCTGTTTTGCAGTATGGCGGCCACTGAGACGGCAAGACTCTGCTGGTGTCATTCGTCAAAAATGACACCACGTTCATCTGGGGCGTGCATTTGAGGTTCCGGTTTTGTACGTGCCGTCTGGAAATGGCATTGTGGGCACAACCACAAGAAAGATTTATTCAATTTACTGGCATAACGTCACCCCTATTTCACCTTCCAATACTGCAATTCCGGGTGAGAGGCATCGACGCGACGCCCCCCTTCACAAATAAAAAGTTTATAGGAAGGGACATTGTCTAAGACTCCGTAAAACGTGTGACCGAGGTGGTGAGTCATCAGTCAATGTTAGCGCCCTTTTCAACTGATACATATTTAATTTGCCAATAGATCGGGACGTGTCTATTTCAATCATTCAAAAGACCGTATCCTCACTGTCATCTGTGTGATCCGGAAATTGAGACAGAACCTTTTGTTTATTTAGCATGTAAAGCTACTGCAGTTGAAATGAGGGAGAAAAAAAAAGCTCCTGCTCTGATTCCATCCTAATAAAAGAATGAGGGGACTGGCATAACATTTTTATCCAATAACGATGTCATGGACGCAATGCATTATTGGACGCAATGAATTATGGGATCAAAATGAACAACTATAAAAACAACTACTTTTTTCCAAGTCGGCCAAGAGTTCTTGAGGGGCGTTCACGGTTGACAGCTAGATTAGTTGTGATTTGGAGACAGAACTCAAAGGAACTCAAGTTTGAAATACCAGTTGGGAATATCTTAGTTCTCTCACACTTCTTACTTGAAACTTCCAACTAAGTCACAAAATTTAAATGAATAATCATTATCTACTGTCTTCCTGATTAGTTGTTCTTTCTCTTTATTTGTTTCTGTTTTCTAATTCTTTTATTAATCCCTTGTGTCTTGGTGACTTGCATGGAGTGAATTTGATTACAAAAAACTTTATGTTGTACATTGAAAATTTAAAGGATTACCAGTGACAAGTGTTACTGGCAGAATAGTGCTATTAATTTGATGATGATGATAATAATAGTTTATCTGTTTTCTAAAAAAATGACAGAAATATTTGATTAATTTTGTTCTTGAATTTTATATATTCTGTTAGCGCTATTGTCATGTATAAGAATGAATTCTACTTTTAAATCATTCAAAGTAAAAAATATTCGAAGAAATCTAAAATAAAACAAAAATGAATAAAATGTAATGTATGAGCAGCCTGATATCCCCTACTCTCTAATGAGTCACTTATTTGTGTCAAGTAATGCCTCCTGCTACCATAACACTAAAATATCTCATTAGTAAGAAGAAACAATCATGTCATAATAATCAATAGATAGTCACATTGGAGTTTATATTACAGAGTATTATAATTGACATTATCATTATGACATTTTTTTCATATTTATTTAATCCTTGATCATCTGTTTCCGACATGATTGTTCAATTTGATCCCAAGTATGTAAAATGAATTTTAAACATTTTAAGAAATAATTTCACAAAGTATATCTGACTTGAAACATAAACAAAGAAAAATGAACCCTGAATATCTTTCAGTTGTATACTTATTGGTATTTGTTTATTTTTAAATACATATTTGTAAAGACTTTGAAATGTGTATTTTGTGTGTCCTTGATCTTAATTTCAGGTAATTTGATACCATAAAGAGAAATTTTAACCAAAAATTCAAGCTTCTTTTACTTTGAGTTTGTAATTCCTTATAATTTCATATTTGTATCATTTACAGACGAACTAGTCAGTTATCTTTATCTACAATGGTGGAGTTGACCAAGGGACAAGATGGCGAATTGGCTGTGGGACGAGAAATTGTGTCTCCTGGTAAGTCGTTCAATTAACTCCTTTAGCATTTTTGTCTTTAGCAACAAATTCTGATATTTCATTAAATGAAAATCATATTGGTTCTCTAAAGTAGCATCTATCTACTTCCAAAATACTTTTGATAGAAGTCAGTGATTTGAATTTACTACTTATATATATTATTATACAAATACTTATTTATATTACCAGAGCACCCAAAAACCTGTTGGGTTCCTTTTAAAAGCAGTTTAAATGTTTAAAATGATGAGGTAACAGTATTATCAATTTTATTAATAATTACACATATTTTCATTTGTATTTGCAATACAAGTTATTATAATAATTATTATTACTCATATTATACAATCAAATTAGATCAAATTCAATAAGATATTAATAAATAGAAAGGCTTTCAGAATTTGTGAAAAACACAGTCCTTGATACACAGAATAACAGAAAATACAAAATCTTCAACATATTAAAAGTATTAATATATCATTGAAATAAATTTAATAGTTTAACAATTGTATATATATATTGATTTATATATATATTGATTCCAAGAATACTACTTAATTTGTCAGAAAGGGAAGACATTTCCTAATTATTATGAACTGATTATATATTATGATTTTCAAAGGTGAAGGACGTTAAAAAAAAAACTACTGCTTAGGGAGATTCATATTTATTGAAATAACAAAGTATGGATATCTTTTTTTTGTGCACTTAGTTACATTTTTTTTTCCTAGGTAATTTTTTCAGAATAATAATTAAATTTTTTATCATATATATACATATATATATATATATATATATATAATATGTGTGTGTGTGTTTCTTCCTCACATTTATTTCAAAATACATAACCACTGCACATTGGCATACCCACAAGTGTTTGTTTATATATGCAGATGTACATAAAAATGTGTATCATAAACAATTACTGAATTTCCTATTAAAAATGCTGTAAAAACAGAAAAATGACCCTAGCTCAAGAATTCCATGTCTAATTTTAATGAAATTTGGCACTGCACTTGGCAGGAGCTGAAGGTACAACATGCCCTAAATTGGTTGAAAATACAATATATTTCTAAATTGGTTAAATATGTATCTTTAAGTTGTATTTTGGGAACAAGCATACATAGAATATTAGTGTTTTAGTATTATGTATTATTATACAAGTACTTATATATATTATCAAAATTGTTTAAAGTGTGGCTTACAGCCATATTACATTGAAACACCAGTTCTCGCATGATCACCAAAGTTAAGTGACTTTGAACCTGGTCAGTTGGGTGACTGCTTGAGAATACCAGGTGCTGTGAGCTTGTATGTGCGGGTGATAACAATTTGGAAATCAGAGAGCCAAATTCAAATTCCTTTTGGGTTTGTTATATTCAATTGAGAAAGGTATGGATCCATCTATTCTCCCCCAGCTTAATTAATTAGTAGAACTTGCATCAGTAAAATAATTCTCAAAAAAAATTTTTACAATCTAAAAATATTTTCTGACTTTAAATAACCTGCAAAAGTTAATAAGCTGTAAAAAAAACAAATTAATATTTAAGCTGTACTTAAATATGTTCTGCAATTATAGTAGTTTAAGTTTTTTTGAGATGTAACTAAACATTTAAAAAGAAAAAAATTAGTTTAAAAAAAACATTCAGATTTGGTAGTATATGATAACAAAGAAAATTTTCAGTTTGACTTGTGACGGTTATGCTACATTGTGTTGTGTGTGCGCGCGATCCTCTGACCTCATTTTGGAGAACAAAAAAAATATAAATTTTTAACTTGTTAAAATAAAATCTCACAAAGGAGCATGAATTAAAATTGTTGTAAAGGAATTTAAGTTCAACTGTTATAAAAAAGAAAAAAAATCTGAAGAACTATTTGGAGCCAAGGAATTAATTTAAAATTATACTTGAATGTGTAATCAGAGATGGTATTGTACTTTTGTATAAAACAAAGTGTATCAGGAGGGATAGAAATAGCAACTGAGTCCAGTCAGGGGTGTTTAAGCCAAGAAGGGGAGTTTTCAGGCATAGGTGAAGAAATAGTCCAATTTTTTAACAATATCGCGAAGCAGGCTGCAACAATGTATGCTTCACTCTAACCATGATACCTAACCCGCATTAACTTGCAACACCATAATCTACTGTGTTCTACTTTTTTTTCTTCTACCTTCTTGCTCACTCAAGGTAGGGGTTGTCAAGACTGAGTTAGAAGAGATTGAATTATTTCAATCTCTTATTTCAAACACAGTCAGTGTGTGTGTGTGTGTGTTTGTATTTATGTTAAATGGCACAAGCACATGTAAATCATTCAAACACAATACACAGAAACATTAAGCATTCATTGACCAATCAGCTACTGCTACTTTTGGTTGAAATTTATAAAACCTTTCTCTTCAAACAATTTTTTAGAAAAATAGGTTTCTCAGGCCCAAATACTCCTCACCTTTTGCTTAATATAGTGTAAAATGTCAACATCTTGATTATGCCATTATTTTCTCTCCAAGTTACATGGGCTATAAATTTTAGTTGTTTCCACAGTTTAAAGTCCTCAATTGATTTGATTTCTGTTATTTGGTACAGTTCTTTCTTTGTGATTTTATAGTGCCAGTCTTTGAGATTTGAAGAAGGATGGTCCTTGCTAAGACATACAGGCTGCATTCACTGGAAGCCATTTTTAACCATTTAACCAATAAAACCGTTGTTTTCAGCTGACAGTTTAGATATTTTTTAACAAGTTTGGCACCATGAATGACGACCATGTAAAAGTCTCAATCTGACAAAGCTATTTAAGAACATAACCTGAGATTTGTATGCAAAAAGTCACTTTATAATATAGATTATACAATACTCAGGCTTTAGAATATTGCTAATTGCAACAATTATATTCCAACTTCAAAAGTTTAGGATAGTGTATTATTATTTGTCTTTGAATTGTACAAATAAATCCCAGTATATAACAGAGTTGATGTGATTCAGAACCACGTAAAAAGCATAATGCAAACTTATTAACTCATAGACAGACATAAAGGTACAATTGATAAGATAAAAGTAACTATCTACCATACATATTTTAAAGTGATTTATTTTTTTTATTATTGTAGGATCTGGAGGACTTGGAGGAATAACTTACATCTTAAAGGTTGTACTGGAGGAATACCAAGCTAATACTGTACCTTGGCAATGGCTACTTGGCAGGCTTTATGTCTTGGACAGACTGTTGGAAGAGTTTCCTGGAGAATTTGTTGGGGAACCTGAACCCCAATCAGAATCATCTGGGGAAGAAAGCAACCCTTTACCATCTGAAAACACAGAAGGCTGTCGTATTATCATTGTCGCTCGGTTTGCTGTATATGCTGTTGGCAACAACCATTCTCGCATTGCAAAAATTGCCCGTCGAATTTTTTTCATCTGTGTCAAATTTAGCGCTGCCCAGGATGAGATTGTCATCCAACTGAACAACTTGCTTGTGACCACAGTTGAGCCAAAATTAATGCGGCCAATGCGAAAGAAACTGGCTCGTATAGTGGACAATTTGAAGCTCTCTGAGACAGTTAAGGAAGTTCGACGGGATTCAGAGAGCAGCCAGAGCACCAGCTGTGTTGGGACCTCAGCAACAGCTTCTCCAAATGAAACCCCACTGTCTACACCTCCAAATTCCCCATTCCCTCCACCAACAATGGATCCACCTCCTATGCTTCGGTGTCCACCACCAATCGAAAATAATAATGAAAGTTCTTTTATATCACCTCCCCGGCTTGATCAGGAACTTCGCCCTACCACCATATCAGTGACATCAAAAACGGTAGAAAGTTTCCCAACGCCACCATATACCCCTGAACATTCCGCATGTAGGATTGCTGCAGAAAATCACAATAAGAATGGAATTGCAAGTAACAGCAGCCTGGGTGGATCTCCGCAACGTTTGCAAAATGTATCTGTGATGTGTTCAGTGACCCTGGCTACAAGTGACCACTCTGGGGAGTGTACAGTGGAAGAGATCAGAAGTATTTTGGAAGATGGCAAAAACGGTCAACAGAAAGACCATGAGTGTGGGGGGGCTCGTATTGTGTGTCAGACCAACATCAACAACTGCAGCAACACCAACCGAAGCCGGTCTCACATGACTCTACAAACATCGACAGCGACAACGACCACTTCGTCATCATCCTCATTTTACGACAGTCATCATATGTGTTCTACACCAATCGCCAACACCTCTAGTCATTCATCATCGACATTGTTAACAGAAGACCTGTCTGATTTAACAGTCTCTCCA